GGCAGCTCAGAATAACTGCCTGCATGTTGGCGGTACCTCCCCACAAGTGACAGCACATTCTATGAGTCTCAGAGGTAAGTAACTGCAGAACCGTATAACATCTTCCTAACTCCTTCAGTGCCAAACAGCTCACAGTGTGTCTGTTGGTCCCACTTGTATGTTTGATTTCAGTTCCTTGTGCCTCAGTTGATTGTCATTATGTGGCAATAGATGATTACTAACACTGAGTTGTCGGGAAGAGCAAATCACCAGATTTTTCTCAATGCTCAGCCTTTAAAGGCTCATATGACTAGAACATATTCAGAGGATGGTAATCTTAAAGGATATCCTGTATGGTTAATTACAGATGGGTGGGGCTTGGGTTCTGCCTCTAATGTGATTTAAAGCTGTATTCAAGTGGGGCATGAGTGATACAGATATTGAGATGGAACATGATGCCATGAATCACATTGCATGGAGTGGAAAAATAAGAAAGGAAATAGGGACAGGGAGAAGAGAATTGCAAAACGAATAAGAGCTGAGTGTCTAAGAAAGAAAAAACAACAGTGGTCCTAAAATCTCATGAACTTATTGTTTGAGATTTATCTTAACGTGAGCTGGTCTTCCTAGTCTCACTCACCATCTCAGTGGCTATGATCCTATGCCTTTCTATAGCACATTGGAACACTACCATCTGGAATGTTGCCAGCAGTCAGTTGTTACACCAGTTCACACTGTCCCTGTTTTTACGATAACTCTTTCCGACTCGGTGATTGTATTTTAATTCCTTTAGATATCAACAAAAGTTATTTAAAGTAACACTTTATTAGGATATAATTATATAAAACCTGTTCTGTCAGTACCATGCCAGGGCAGTGACAGAAAAAGAAAAGAAAAATTCACTTAAATGAGATTCCTGCAAGAAGACGAATACGGCAAAGGGCATGACTTTGTATCCCTGGTAAACTGACAAGACCATGTAAGTAAAGAACCGCCCGGCTCGCCAGCTTAGTTGGCTAAACCGGATTGCATGGTGACGAACTCCTTGTGGTCCAGGTTCACGCCCGGGGGTAGGCAGAAAAGCCACATTTCTCCCAGATTTACGGTATTTAAAATAGAATCAAGGCCAAAGGGTTGCGATATCCATAATACCGAGCCTCAGGGTTAGCAAGAAGATAAAAATCAGAATCAGTAAAATTTGGATGAAAATGGGGGTAGTGGCAGCTCTGTTTTTTTTAAGAAAACAAGTGAAATGGTTTGGTCATATAATACAGGTGCCGACAAACAGTATTCTACAGCAAGCAGTGATGCAAACGATACACAGAGGTAATAACAGAGCCTCTGACAATCCCCATTTACGAAGTGCACAAATTGGCTCTTTCCTGAAAATTATACTTCACAAAGACACAAGAGGGTTGAGATTAGATGAACTATAGCAGGGTTATTCAACAGGCAGCTTTCGGGTAGAAGTTGCCCGTAATTGTAATAATGAACTTTCTTTGCTAGAGCTTAGACCTCTGGTTCATGGCAATCAAAATTTTCAAAAAATTGTTGGTTGACCCCAGGTAAACTTAGTTGATTAGCCCTGAATTACAGTAACCTGCCTGTTACAGTAAGAGTTAAACCTTTTCGTCCAAAGCACTGTGTGATGCCTGGTTGGCTCTGCTGCATGCATGCCAGCCATCACATGTTTTATTGTACTTTTCACATTTGATCAGGGCATGTAAAAAAAATCTGGCTTCGCCAATACAGTTATCACATCCACTCCCTGACTATTTGAAAGAAATACACTCTTGATCTGCTGAAGACATAAAAATCATCTGAAATAACATCATCTTAATCACAGGGTCTTTTTCTGGAGAGTCAAACTATGATAAAATTAAACCTTTGAGTCATTGCAAAACTCTCCTCTGCGTGGACCTTCATATTTGTCCCAGGGCAAGCAGGTGTTGTTGGAAAAAAAAAAGAGCTGATAGACTGGAAGGTGCCACATTATTTGCAGATGGCCGGCTCATGAATCATGCAGACATTGTCAATATCCTTAGAGAGATAGGATGTTTTGAGGAAGCAACATGTCTATATCACTGCTAAGAATACAAGAACTGGGAGTAAAGATTGGCACAGCCAAGCATGAGAAACTCACCTGATTCAACAAAGTCTTGTCAGCCAGCATAGGACTGGCACTATTAACCTCGTGGCGCTGATGAATATGTTGAACGGGGGATCTAAGCACCTGTGAATGTATCCGGAGTGCTGTGAAGATAATCAACTCAAATTCAAACTGGGTTGATACCTCACCATCTTTGTCACACAAATCAGCAAGATTTTCATTCAGAGTTTGGATTTTGAAAATCCAACTAACACTTCACTGAATCAGGTGGAGGAAGAAAAGATCATTACTGTAGGCAATCTGTTATTGTTGGTGTGTCATTTTGTTTATTTTTTTTTCTACAGGCTCCAAGCAGAGTTTAAATATTAGAAGTCCCAGTGCAGCCTCTGCTCAGAAGATCATTAACAACAGTGCAGATTCACTTAACAAGCGAGGGCAGACCCCTTGTCTATCTACCAACAGTGCAGATTCACTAAACAAGCGAGGACAGTTCCCGTCAGAATCTGACACATGTTTTGTAGAATGGCTGCCCCGGGATACAGACCAGCAGGTGAGTTTTGTGTGTTGTGTATAAGGCTAGCAGCATTGTTGTTTTTGACCTTGCATCATCTGCCTGATAAGCCTTGGGTGTGTAAATAGTTCTTTTTTTTTTTTTTTTAATAACAGAAGCCATGAGTTGTTAACCCTGAGGCTCGGTATTATGGATATCGCAACCCTTTGGCCTTGATTCTATGATAAATACCGTAAATCTGGGAGAAATGTGGCTTTTCTGCCTACCCCCGGGCGTGAACCTGGACCACAAGGAGTTCGTCACCGCGCAATTCGGTTTAGCCAACTAAGCTGGCGAGCCGGGCGGTTCTTTACTTACATGGTCTTGTCAGTCTACCAGGGATACAAAGTCATGCTCTTTGCCGTATTCGTCTTCGCAGTAAGTGATGTGCATGATATTGATAACATCACTTCTGTCCCAATTCCAGGCTAGCCATAGTAACTATGCAGTGTCTGCAAGATAATCTACCTGCTCGTTGCCTCGAACACCCGCATCACCCAGCAAAAAGATTGTTAGGCCAGCCATTAACAGAGATGGTTGTTGATACAGTCCATTCTTGTCTGATAAATCTGGCCTGGATTTTCTTGAGCATATCCATTGACTAGAACATTTGTCATCATCAGGTGCTTTACTGACTGGCAAATGCGATCATGCTTCTCCTTCTACATACCTTTCAGTCTCCAATGGAATGTATCTGTTCTGGGTTTTTTTCCCCCTTTTAAAAAAAATATCCTATGATGTAAGATTGCTAAGTATATTCTTTCACCATCTTCCTCTGTTGCCTTTTTATTGATCTTTCTGGTAGTTACTTGTTTTCACTTCCTAAAATGTGCCCAAAACACCAGGATTAGCTCTTTTTGATTTTTAAGGTACATTGTCTTTGTGTGTAAGCTCTGTTTAGAACATATAGATTATTTATTTAAAAACTGAGAAGTTAAAGTACCAGAAATGCAACTGTTCATACAATAAAAAGAAAAAAATAGACTAGTTTGGCCAACTGACAAAAAGCGCTGGTATCAACTGCAGCAGAGATATGTTGAAGTATAATGAGCGTAGCAATAGAGAGAGAATAGCAGATAACAGACATATATGAAATATATATACAACAGATTTGAATGGCTGTAGACCATGAGGCAGACCAAGGAGATGGTGGAGGTACAAACAGACCTACATATACATCTTTTTTAAATCAGCACTCATTGCTAGCATCAGGAGAGCTAATAGACTGCCATGGTTGGGGCATATGGAGAGAATGACAGCTAACCAAGACACACAAACTGCAAACACAAAGGAGATGAATTAACTAGACCATGAGGTAGACCAAGAAGATGATTGACCTGCAAACACTAGTGCCATGAATGGAAAGAGGTGAATTGATAGAGCTGACATCTGCAGCAGATATCTCAAGAGCTCGAAATGCTAGAGAAATAAAGAACAATTGGCATCAAGGAACTCTTTTAACTTTACTAATTGTCGAGGATCGATAGTCATGTCTTATATGTGACAAGAATAAATTATCTTTATAGGGGCAAGGGCTCCAACAGTATCATTTGAGGACACTACTGGAAAGTGTCTGTATTTGTGCTACACAAGTGTTAAACACAGTGAAGCAGGAAGAAATAATCAAACTATTAGAACCATCCAGAGTTGACAACAAGGAGGTGAGAATGAGACATTTAATAACTGAAAACAGCAGCAGTAAGAATCAGTCATATGGGGAACATTTCAAGTGCTACTAAGTGCCAACAGATGATACATTACAGTACAGAACAGTCAACTTTATACTCGTAGATGATTTATTACTTTGTAATAAAGAAGAATCATTTGTAACAGCTGACTGACTTTCAACCGCACAATGAGCGATAAACACCCGGTGACACAAAGTGCCACCATCGGATGACTGCGCAAGTCCTAGAAAAACTTTTCAACTTATTGGTTATATTTAGGGCCCTTAACGACAGCTTTACAATAACCCAAAAAAATGCGTCCTATACTGGGGCCTTAAAAAAAATATATATATATATAAAATCAGGTGTATACTCGCAGAGAGATGATACATCATCTTACAGAACAGTGAAACTAATATTCAGAAATATACTTTTAATTAAATTACAGAATATTAAGTTATGCTTACAATCACATTTCTGAAATTGCAAGTTTTTACTAACATAGATGTGCACTGTCTCTCTTCATTTCTTCCTGCTTCTCTTCTCCTCCAGCTTTACCCCTGATTTATTAAACTTTCAGAAGTGAAGTCATTATCACAAATATATGCTTCAGAATAAACACCTGAAGAAGAACAAATCTGTATTTTGGTTCCAAGAAGGGATTTTTCTGTTAATTGTTTTTTTTTGTTTTCAGGTTTTAAATTGCTCCTTGGCTGGAGCCATTTGTGTGTCAGTAAATGTTGGTGAGCTTGGAGAGCAGAAGACATCTGGGATTGTGAACTGGACTGATAGTGCACTAACACATAAGGTCACCAGATGCAGCCGAAGCATAGCCTCAAAAGCTGGAGCACTGATGTGGGCAAGCTGTGTGGATTATATTGAAAACAAAGGTAACCACATTTGATGATGGCAAGATGTTCTGTCTAGGTCATTTAGTATCAATCTTTCAAAAACAACAGCTGTTGACGGCAGCTTGTTCTTATAGTTGATGTTTGTCTTTCGATAACTATAGCTTGATGAAAATCTCTTTCTTATATCTGATTTTGCTTGTGGGGGGGGGGGGGGGGAATAAAAATACACCCATTGCCTCCCTAACAAGCATGTCATAAGAGTTAACTAATTAGGGCTTTCTTTCTAAGTCTTAGTGCATCTTCCCCAGAGACAAGGAAACAACAGTCTGCGTACAGAAAAGCCAGATATGTAAAACCTATATGTATGCAAAACTCAATTCTGGAACAAGACTAAAAGTCCAGAAGTGGACTAAGTCTAGAACTTTCCGCTGGAGTTTACAGCGGTTGAACATGAAGAAGAAGGCAGCTGATGTCTGTCTTTCATTAACTACAACTGTTAATAGCAACTTTAAAAAAATTATTTTCTTTCTAATCTTTCAGTATTCACAAGGAAGATTGACTGCAATGGATCCAAAATAATATAAGAGCAAGTGGAGAAAAAGAACAAAATATTCTTCTTTTTTTTTTTTTGAGAAATATTGGTCAGAAAGTGCATTTTTGTATTTCCTTTTGCAGAGCTTCTTAGTTGTTTTTGTTTGTGCACTCAGGCATTCTCTCATCACAGTTTGCCATAAAGATTATTGATCTTTTGTTGGTTTTCCTGTTCATTGCTATGGTGTCTTTATTGGTTTTTCATTTACAGCTCTCATCATTGGCTTTTGGAGCCATGTCTGTCCACTTAGTCTTATAATGTTATTAATTTCCTCAGAGGAGCATAGGCCCTCAACCAGCTCATGCCAAGTCATTCTATCCTTCGTTAATGCATGCAGCTTTGTCCATGCCCTACCCATCTTTTTAACTTCACTGTCTGGCTTCTTTCTCTTTGTGTTTTTTTTTTTTTGGTCTTCATTTATTTCTATGTCCTTGTGGGTTCCAGTGCAAAGACATTCTAGTTTTATTGTTCTCAGTTTTTCTCAGCGTGTGTCCTATCTAAAGCCAGGTTCTTTTCTTCACCTCTTGGTCCACTGGAACTTATTTAATTCTCTCCCAAAGCTCCACATTAGTGATTCTATCATACCATTTCATTACCTCTATTCTGCACAGGCACCAGTTGATGAATGTTTTTAGTTTATTAGTAATTGCCTTAGTTCTCTGTATTTCCGCTCCATACAACAGAACTGATTTGACATTAGAATTTAAAATGTTTAGTATTAGTTTTAATTTCCGTTGACTTCCACAAATTTCCTTGTGTTATGAAAGCTCCTCTTACCATTTGTAGTTGTATTTTAATATCTCTATTAGTTCCCCCACCCCCCTACACACGCATTGCTGCCCATATGGGTGTACAACTTGAAGTGTGATACCAATATGAGAAATCACATTACTACTTGCCTGGTTTAATCTCATTATGTTTGTCTTTCCCTATATGAATTTTTAGACCCAGTTTTGTTATCTCTCATCATGTATATTTAGTTTTCTTGCATCCAATTCTTTGAGTGGGGACAGAAGAGAAATATCATCAGTGAAATCCAGATCGTCAGCCTGTTTTGTAGGGGTCCACTGAATTCCATTTCTGGTGTTAGCAATTGCTGTCTTCATAAGCCAATTCTGTTGCCAGTAAAAATAGAAGAAGCGGTAAAAGACATCTGTATTACACACCTGTTCTTGTTTCGGTTCTTTCCCGCCTTTTCACTCCATCTCGGGTGATGCATAATTTTTAGGGAGATCCCCTGAGTGTACTGTATATATAATAGATTATCTTTGTCTGCAATGTTTTCTGTGGTATGAAGTTCGCTTTCTTGTGAAATTCACTCAGCAGCTCATAAAGTTTGGCTTAAGCCGGCCCCTGAAAAGGGTCATCTTGTGGGTTAAGTAAGAGTTAGTGTTACCTGCAGCGATGCTGACATGTCAAGGAAGTTCATGGTGAAGCTGAAGTAACAACACTGCTTCCCAACCAGGGCACAGTGGTGGCGGCAAACGAAAGTAACACACACTAGACACAATAAACAAACACATGACACCCCTAAAATATAAGAATTTTATGGTTAGTGTTAAATGAATGCCGACTAACACTAACCCTAACCTTACTAAAGGACATTCTGTTGACTCGCTAGAAATTCCCTACGCAATCTTGGAGCCTCCGAGATGGAGGTGGAAAAGAACCCTTATCTTAAATGTATGTTAGCAGCTTTCCCTCATGAAGAACTCGACATTTCATGTCCTTATATGTTGCTTTTACTAAGTTAATAATTTTTTAAGGGATTTCATAGTACCCCATGCACTGAGTGCATGTGTACATGTCATAATCGGCCATAATAAAAAATAAATTAAAAAACAAAATTGAATTATAAATAAAACTTTTTAAAAACCATTTATAAAATAAAAAGCAAGGACACATTTTTGTCATGAGCAGTTTGTACATGTACTGTTAACAGTTAAATCGCTAGGATAACACTTGCATAAAGAATACATTCTGACCAAAACCTATCTCTGCACTTTCTGTTTCATTTGTTGTTTAATCTGTTTTCCTTATTTTTGATAATCACATTTTGTTAAGTTGGAAAGGAGGTGGGGGAGGGCCTTGTAGTATACTCAAGGAGGAGCATGGGGGTCTTGCCATATATTGGGGGGGGGGGGGGGGTGGTTTTGACCTGAAAAAAGATTGGAGACCATCTTTATAATGACTGACTTATATATCATCCTTACCTGAAGATAATTGTTCTGCCTCCTCCTTCCTAGGAAGTGATCTGGAAGCCCCAGATGTTTTAACAACCCCTGCAGGAGGCAGATTTGACAAGTCTGTGGTGGCCATTCTACACGTGGTGGAGCCGCAGCTGGTTGGTGAAGATGAAAGCAGCAGTGCTACTCCTTTAGTAGAAGTGTATGCCAACTGCTTGAGATTTGCAAATGAACGTTTGGGGCTGGACAGCTTGTCTTTTCCACTTATTGGTGAAGGTAAGACATTGGTTTTGTTGTTTTTGCTTGCAGTGTGTTTATTGAGGAGTCTTTGTGGTTAAATGATTAAGCCATTTGTCCCAAGCACTGAAGGTTATTGGTTTGTTTCACCAACAGTTTATTGCTGTATAATTTGTATGGAGGTCCCTAGGGATTTTCAGAGTTTGTGTTCTGTGTGATGCTCTTGGTAAGCGTCTGACCTTTCTGCAAAGAGAGAGACAGCCATATAGGATAAATCTGGTACAATGAAATTGATCCCTTTGACTGTAAACTATAATACAAATGTTTTTCAAATATTTGACATTTTTTTGATAGATTGCTTAGGAAATTAAAGACAATTATATCCTGAAAGAAATAAAAGAAAATAAGGTTATGTAATAAGTGGTGTTTATATTTCTCGTTGTCTAGGTGGTGTTCATGCGTGTGTCGTGAATGTTCTTCTCACACACTCCACGTTACATAACTGGTACAAGCCGACACCTTAAGCTTACGAGACATAAGTTTATTGGCATATTGACATTTACAGTAAAGTCCAGTTGTTATCCTAATCACAGCTCTCGCACACCAATTCACGCAACCTTCAACGAGCAGTTTCTCCAAGCATTCACTGACCAAAGTCGGCTCCCATCAGTTCAGTTGAGGTTCTGGCCATTAAACAGACTGGCATGGTTGATCTTGGCTTCACACATCGTCGTCAGGGTCTCCTTTCTCAACAAGCACTCTAACGTTGACATTCTCACGTTCAGTCACACATTCTCTCGCTCCAACAGGTCGACACAAACTAAACTTGATCAGAATCAAGTGTGACTTATACCACGGGTTAGTTTCACGTGGCAACACGTGGTGGTCCTTTACTTTCACGTGGCGACCTTTGGTCGCATTCTCGTGGTACCCGTGATAACTAGTGGTCATCACCTATCTCAAGATCCTCGTTTAATCCGAGTATCTGGAACATCTCGGTGTTTTGTGTTAGCTTTGGGCCTTCCCCCCAACCTTTCTAATCTGGGTGAAAATATCCCCCATTACATGTTAGTTTTAACTAAATCTCCCCAGACAAAGTAGGTAACTTTTCATTCACAAGTTTGTTAGGCTGGTTGACTTTCCTGAAGGTTACAGGTGTGTCCCACTCTGTTGTTTGCTTTCTGTGTTGTATTGCATTTACATTTGTTTTCCGAGAAAGAGAATGCCTGTGACATAGGTTGCAGCACTCTCTAGGGGAGTTGTGTTAGTTTCTCCATGTTTTCGGAGTGTTAAAAGCACTGAAATATACAACACATGATATCAACTGCGTAACCTTATGCAGAATGTGACAGGTTCAGGAACTACCATTCAGAAGTGAGCTAGTGTGTATATGGACGGGGTGTGGGGAGATTAACGTTACATGTACCGAAAATAGAAATTGATCAGAGCAATAGATGAGGATGAGGTTACTATGGCTCGACTGTAACCTATGACATAATGAGCTGTTTTACTTTCTGTAACAGGGAACTCACAGTACATTCATTTTATCTGTTGTATTTCTTTGCCTAATGCTGTAAGGCATTGCAGGTATGGCCAATGATTGTTTATTTTATCTGATGTCTTTCTCTGCTTAATGCTTTTAGACGGAGGTATGGCTAATGATTGGTGAAATGCAAATAAAAACATGTTTTAGCAACTGAAGCATCAAATAAAATATTTGCTGAATTAATCTTGGCCTGAGAAATGAAGTTTATGTGTGTCTAATCCGATAGAGTGCCAGATCTTACCATCCTTTCCCAAAAGACAACTTGTTTTGGTATTAAAGGTGGGGGAGGGGAAAGATTGATTGAAATTGGCTCCCCTCCCCCCCTCCCCCCCTCCCTTTTTTTTCTTCCCTCATTATCTGTCCCCACTAAGACTGGTGAAAGAGATAGGATGTTTTTTTTAATGTGATGCATTCATTAATACATTTGCATGCTGACCTGCGCAGAGTGTTCAAATCACCAGAAAGGGATTGTCACATGCATGTATGCCAGGGTGATCTAGCTTTTAAAATATACAAGGAAATTGTGTGGGAAGTAAAGACAGCCTGTAGGGCATTGACCACATCCCCATCAGGTGCTTCTGATTTTTAAAAAAAAGTGACTATCATATTACAAGAGTTGAGTCCCTTACTTTTACATATATTTATTTATTCTTTCTTTTCAGGTACATTTCCATTTGATATTTGCCTGCGGAGCTTCTTCGATGCCTTGCTAGTGTTTCTGGCTGAGCAAACATCATCAGAGAACTGTGACCTCACCAAAGTCCAGCTCATCATACCTGATGTCAACTCTGCTAGTTTTGCTGCAGACCTTATTAATTCACACCTTCAGAACATAAGCAGTAATGATCTTTACTGTGTTGCCCGAGATACATATAATCATCATTTTGGGGGAAGATGGAAAGTATAAAATGGCAAGAAAAATTATGTCGGTTCATATGTTACAAATACATTTAACCATATTTTACCATGTATAAGACAACTCCAGTTTAAGCAGTTAATAAAGATGTGGAAAAACTATAATCTTATACATGTAAATATAAGGTAACTCTTTCAGCCTGAGGGGAAGGGAGGTTGTAGGGGCTGTGCGCTTGCCTTCTGATCTGATGGTGGTGGGTTCGAGTTCTAGCTGAACCATACCTTTTTCTTTTTTCAAAAATAACCTTGGCTCCCAGCCTTGAGTGGGTACCACATCACCCACCGAGTGCTAATTGGTCAATAAAATATAGATCTAGCCTAAATGCATGCAAAAGGGTATTTTTTAGCCTTGGGGAGCTGTAACCAGCATTTTATTCTGAAAATGTTTGTAATTTATGGTCCTTTAGGATCTCTTTCCTGAAAGAAATTGACTCACGAAAAGAACTAATTGCCCACATCGTATATAGAAATATATATTCATTGGTCATATGATGAGAAGGAGAAAACTGGAGTACATCGTGAAAGTAGGGAAGTTGGAGGAAAAGAGAGACAGAGGAAGACCACGAGATAAGATACTGGACAGTTTGACATGGCATGGAGGATCATCAGTGTCAGAGTTGATTGAAAGTGCACGAGACAGAAGGTTGTGGACAGACATGACTGTCAATGCCACATGTCAAGGACTTGAAGAGGGAGAAGAAGGATCTCTTTGACACAGTCGTTAAACAGTTTGCCTCACACTCTGAAAGTTGTAGATTTGATTGTGGGCTCCATCTTGTAATTAGCAAGTGCAGATATGTTGGAGATATCTGTGGGTCATTACTATAGCCACAGGGTTTTATCTCTCTGCATAGAGATTTAGTCATACAGGACAAAGCCAAGCATGCTGGGATGAATTGTCTCAACATTAAATACCATTTTCATGAAGAAGAGAATAATCAAATCAATCAGAAAGCCACCAAAACTGGCACAAGAGGATTAATATTTGATGGATAGACCAGAGCAAGTCGTTATTCTACATCTTAGAACCGCACACAATCGACTTCGCAGCCAAAACTTTAGATTGGCAAATTAGCCATGTGCACATGCTGATTAAAACCTGGGACAGCAGATCACATCCTTCAAGACTGTCCCAAATACCACATTTCCAGGCAAAACTTCAGGCCAAGAGAGACACTGGCGGAAGCCCGGAAGCCAAACTTTACGGGCCTCTAAGTGAATTACAAAAGTCTGATAAACAAAAAATGATTTGCCATCTCAACAGTGAATGTTGGTTGCAGTGTACCTCCTGCTGTCTTTGGGAATTTTACACTATGAGACCCTTATCTCTTCCATGGTGCAACTCTCATACCCCAGTTCAAAACCCATGAGAACATTTTTCTTAGAAATTGTCTGCATCGGAAATATAACTCTAATACTCAAACATCATGAAAGTGTTGAATGCATCCGGTAATCGATACGCCACAGAGCATTAAAATAAGATCGCTGTTAGTAAAAAAAACACAAAAATGTAAACTGAAAAGGAAATTACCCCAGTAGGATACCAGCATGTAGATTTATCTGTTCACCACAGGCAGTGAAACCGAATAACAAGAAATAAGTTATGAAGAGTTAAAGTGTTGAGACTGTTGGTTTCATGGCACTGGGTTTCATCCCATATGGCTTGATCTCTCTGTAAAATGGCTGGACATATACTGAAAGTGTTACACAAAGCATGAACTTCATAACTCCAGTGATAATCCCTTAGGATTTAAAAAAATGCACCGGTGAATGAACATCCCTGTTTCAGCCACTCTGTCCGTGAAATGAACCTGCTGATTTTTGGCTTTATCAACATGCTCTGGAAACCCTCTCTATATATATGTTTAAAAAAACCCAGGTTGCATATCCTTACAGGACATTACAGAACCAACCAACCCCCCCTCCCCCATGCTCCTTTTTAAAAAAAATAGCTATTGTGGTTTTTATAGGCAGATTTTACGTTCAGTAGTTTGCCTTTGCTTCTGAACTGTCAGGGCTCGGTACCACTGTCAAAACCAGTGCAGATCAAATCATCCGCAGCTGGGATCGGCCCAGGCGTTACGAAGCGCGCTCGCGAGGCCTAAGCCACAGACGCCGACAATGTTTAATGAAGGCAAAATTCTCAGTCAGAATTGCCATCATCGCCATGAAGCAGGTCTTTTGCAGGATGTGGCTCTTATCACGGTCTGCCTGAAAGAAACTTGTTCTCTTGCCAGCTCTCCCACCTCGTGTACTTTCAAATTTAAGGAGTTACTTATATCCTGTGCCTATCTTCGTGTTGGTTGACCCCTGCCACTCCTTCTTGGTACCATGCCTCTGCCAAAATATTTCAGCTTCCGAGACAAGATGCTTTATTAGCCAGTCTTCCTTGATGTTCAGATCTTTTAAAATGATAGTATGTCTTCTCTTCTTTGTCCATGATATTTTGAGAATCTTTTTATAGCATTTCATCTCAAAGCCCCAATTTTCTTCCTTAAGATAGTCCACAACTCACATCTGTATGTTGCTGCAGGGAAGGTGCATGTCTGAAAATTTTTAACTTTTGATTTCCTTACTT